AAAGAGGTCTAGTGATAGGCTAACAGTCATTCTGAGGTGCTTGCACCAATGACATCTACTTTGACTAGGTGACTGTGGTGTCATGCCACAGCGGCGGTTAGATCATCCCTACAATGAGAGCTGTATATGATGAGGCAGGTAACCCTAGCTAGATGCTGAGACAATAAACGATAGCCGATGAAGTTAAGAGGATGCGAAAACCTCATGGGTCGTTTCGGGAGATTTTTGTAGCGCAAAACAACTGACGAGCTCGATAGCCATCAGCTGAAAGCAGGACCGGGTATAAAATATCGTTTGAAAATGGTTTACAGTTAGAGTTCTTTATTTGAAGAGACGATGAGGCGAACAATTTTTGGTGTTGAGGCACTGGATTACAGAATGAGTTTCATGTGGTCACTGTAAGATACATCCGATAATCGTTCATCCGTAATACCCTTTCGGTGCCCAGCTGTCATGCCACCCGAAGGAAGCACAAAGGTTGGGATACTGCCAGGTTGACCAAGCCTAGACAAGGGAAGCAAGCTGAGAAGCAGAGGTCGGGTTCAAACCACGGACCTTCCGGTTAGTAAGTTCGAGCTCAAACCACTTGAGCCATCTCGCCCCAAGATACATACAACATATATGTTAATCTCGATGAGACCAGTATCTATCGCAGAAAAGGGACGATTTTTCGTACCTGAGTTGTTCCGTTTCTCAGGGAATGCCAAGACGTTGTGTAATTGGCTCGGACGGTGGGTGTACCAGCAGTAGTTTAACATCGGTTTACTCTACCTGCCGTGATCACTGACCCTCATGATTCTGTTAGACCGATGGATCACAAGAATCCGATCCCGTGGTGGTATGCAAAATGTGAGCTCTGTACAACAGAGAGCCTTTAACAGCACTCAAGCTCATATCTATGTTGACACTGTAAAATGAGGCCTGATAATAGAACTCCCTACATATGCTGCGTGCGAAAGCAAATTTCGTATCGGTCGATTGAACCACTGAAAACGCGACTTAAGTTTTGGTGATGCTCAGAAGGCCTTCATCCTTCATACAGACAAGTGAGCTAAATGAAGGAGTACGTCGAGGCTAAGCAGTTTACGATATCTTCAATTTGAGTAGCGGCTGAGCGACAACAAAAACCGGTAAGATCTACATTTTTGGACATCCGCTTATCCAGTTCTCCGTTTACAGCTGCACGATCGAACGGACCGAGGTCTTGGTCATAGGAATTCGACTATCCTACTTATATCCTGTGTTCACACCACGCCCCGTTAGTAGGGCTATTTACCAATCAAGTGGTTTGTTCTTGGTTTGAGTGAAGCTGTTAGTTGCGGATGTGTTCGAATTGAACGAAAACAGCGTTGCATGATTCGACCAACAGTTGTTCTGCATCAAGCGTCCAATTCCAGTAAAAAACGGGAATAATATCTAACGATCGCGTTTACTCACACTGTACAAAAGCGCATCAACATTTACGCGCACGCCGAGGTTGTGTCTACACTATGATCTGCTCTACGAAACGGTCACTCTCTTCCAATAATAGGATCCTATAGGTCCGGAAAAATGTCGCCGACCACGATAGGTGAGCTGGTCCTCATCAGCTTCTCGGGTTAGTTCATCCTCTACGGCTACCAGACAATCGGCCGGGGCTGGAGGAGTCCATGGTACGAAATCTTGTCGATGGATCGTTCGCTGTGCCCGCAGCAAGCGCTCCTCCAGACGGTCAAGCGCGTTCAGAGTGAACACGACAGTGTTGTGTTGGACGAGGGACCACACGTTCAGTCCATGAAGAGGCATGAGGGTCAAACCACGGCCTGGGTGCGTAGCACGAGGGCACACGGCTTCAGTTTGATGTAGCACAGCTTCTGGTTGCAACTCAGCCTCAACAAAATTGGCGTACGCGCTGCATCCAAGAGTAATGGCCAGATCCGATACATTGTCCAGATTAGGATAATTTTGCTCACCCTTGTTGGCCAGCCAAAAGGTAGGATCCAAGTCCACACTGCATCGAAAAATAAAAGAGCAAATTTTTTAACATTTCTACATTTGGAAGGTCAGATCATCTTGAAATCACTCAGTTGTGTACCGAATAAGATTCATATAATATTACTTCAGGATCGACACGGAACTGCACTATTCTCAAACATTTCGGTTGTGAAGATCTCAGAGCGTGTTTCCTTCTTGCTCTTTAGTGTGACGTGGTTTTATTATCAGAAAGAAATGGGTCTCACACGTGCATTAGGAAGTGGAAACTTATTTTCAGACCAGAACTCAGGCAGTTGATTGAAAAATGTGGCAACTCTACTGTACCGTAGGAATTATGCCATACTTTAAGCATGTTATTTTGAATACGCGATAGGGGAACCGGCAGAGTCACAACGCTGCATGAATAGGCATAGCTACATGTATATGAAAAAAACATCAGTCACTTCGTTTTTGACTCACTTGTGTATTCTAAAGAACTAAGTCTGACGATGGGANATATATATATATATTCACTTATTCACCTGATACAATGAAGCTCTTGCGTCACAAGCAAAACGTTACCCCTTCCCCTGAAAAGTGACTTGTTTTTATGGATTGAAGAAATAGATCTACTTTGAACTGAGGGGATTCGTTCATAGGAAGGCTACTGTGAACATATTACGGTCACGTATTAGTTTCGCTTATCGACCCAAGCCCTCATTGAAAGTGGGACGTATATGATTAGTAGTTCGCTGGTCTGGTCTTGTTTGGTGGCTTCAATAGTCTGTCGCTTAAAGTGCAATTAGGGATAGTCTGGCTGCTGACACAGCGCACAGAACATTTTGTCGCTTAACTTCAAATCACGAGAAACTGAGCAATTATTTTCAGGGCAGAAAAATTTTAAAGAATTATAAGCAAGGTATCGTGTGGGCGGATCCAAGAAACCTCAGCTATAAGAAAGCTTCCGTCCCTGTTTGGATTGAATGGTGAAAATAGAGGCTTCATAGACACACTGTGCAGGGCTAAAGGTTTATTTACATGAAACGTCTCAGCTACTCACGAGTAGTCACATAGTAGTCCGTAAAGTTCAGATCAAAACAAACTTCTTAATCAGGAAACCAAGCTTCTGGAAATACGTTTGGAGCTCAAACAATGACTTAAACACTGCATCATTTGTGTTCTGAAAGGACTGTCTAAACACTTCCATCTTAGCACTCTCATCACACCACGATTCGGAGTCGAAGTCAGATGAGAATACAACCTGGACTAGACAGATATATTAATGGAAAAGCTTGTGGCAACAAAAATTCCAACAGAAGACTAACTCGGTAATGAACAAGACGGACGGACCCCAGCGTCGTTCATCAACTAGTTGGCGCAGATAAATTGCTGACTCGTTCATGGCCTTCGAAAGTCGGAGTGCATGAGTCCGGGCACCGGCGGACAGCGGATCGTCAAACTCAAGATCTTCCAAGGCAGCCACTGAGGCTTCCAAAGCGACTTCTTTTGCTTGCCGTTCCAAAGCTTCCGACAGATCGAAGTTGTCCACAATGTGTAAATCATCCTGAATGCGAAAACGAACGTTCGGGATGATTAGCGGCGTAGCAAACGTAGCCAAATATCATTCGAGGTAAAAGATTGGTCTTCACAGTATAAGCAGTAAAAATGGGACTATAGTAAGCTTATTCTATGCACAATTGCGCAGGAGTTGAGTTGGTTTTGAATGAGTTTGGGTAATGTAAAGGTATATCATTCCTCTTGCTTCCCTCGGGTTGCGAAGCGGCTATGAGTTCAAATGTTATCTCAGCTAAATTAAAATTGTACTTGAAAATGGCAAACAGAGAACTCAGTAATCCTGATATACCTTCTCGATCGTAGAGATCGATTCAGAGCATCTGTTTATCCACTTCCCCGTTGGAGTACCAGAAACAGAGGGACTTGTTCACCCGGGTTGGAAAGTATGTTTTCGGCACATATCATTCGATGCTGAAGACTACAACCTTGGTTGTTTAGGCAGAATGACAATAACTGATATTGGTTGGCTGCTAATGACACCATGAATGCCACTGAATCCAAGCAAAGGCGCACTTTCCCGTAAGACTTTTATAGTGCGACCGTTGGCGACAGGGATGGTTCATCCGTACGATGATCGACAATCTGAAGTGAAGCCCATAGGTCGTAATTCCCGCCTCAATCCAGGAGGGGTGCCGCCCTAGTAGGGGCGGGATGGCCCAAGTGGTTAGAGCGCGAATCTACTGACAGGAAGGTCCGTGGTTCGAACCCGACTTCTGCCTCTCGACTTCCCCTGTCTAGGCTTGGGCAACCTGGAAGTATCTCAGCCCACGTGAAACCTTCGGGTGGCATGGCAGCTATGGCTGAACGAATAACCTAGTAGGCACTACATAAGGTTGCTAAGAAAAGTGCAGTATCCTTCAAGGTTACGGAGTAAAACCCTACCAAAAAGGATATCGAGGAGAATTTCATGTTTGGTTCCAGGGGATATGAATTTTCGGCTTCCGAATACCACCCGACGAGCCTGTATACCCAACAAAGAGATAAGGTGCGTGGGAATCAAGACGAGGAACTAAAATAGTGCACATGAAAACCACGTCAAGACAAGAGAAGGCGTTCTCTATTTTTCCTCCACTTTTCCTCCTAGGTACAAGAGGCAGCTTAGTGGCTGGAGCGTGAATTTACTGACCGGAGGGCCATGGTTCGAATCCCCCCGACATGTCGACCGCTCTTGTTTAGGCTTTGGCAACCTGGCAGGATATGAGCCCTCGTGCTTCCTTCGGGCCGTGTGGCAGTTAAGAACTGAGCAGAGCTGAACGACTGTTATCATTTTCACAGGAGTAAACGTGTGTACCTCCCTATTTTGATGTAAAATTCATCCAATAAAGCAACTGGTGACAAAGACTACTAATCGTTTTTCGGTTTCGATTCTCCGGTGACAATATCCTGTTGTATTTTCGGAAAATTAGGACAACTTCTAAACGCATGTTCTTTTGTACTAGTCAGACTCTACCCTGACTACACGGAAAGATGCTGCGAGAGTACGGCTCAAAGCGTGCCACCCCTCTCCAAAGGGAGTGTTTTACTAACGGCGCAGTTATGGCCAGTCCAGAGAGTACGGGCTTTTGGGAGAGAACTCTATTAATAGGGCGGTTCGACATTGAGCATCCGAAAATGGCTTGTGGGATCACAACAAATGGCTTCAACCACTGGAACTTCCGATTTCCGCTACTCCAACATGACAAAAGAGAATGGGCTGGAAACGAGCCGTTCATGTTTGTACCTCTGCACTTTATTAATTAAGAGCGATGTCCTTGACCAGCGACTGATAAGCGTTCTCAGATGTTTACCACTGTCGACGCGTGTCGGACTAAGTTCAACCAGAAATAGAATGTGAATTTTTAGAGGGAGAATGGAATTCCGGAAGATACTGTATACTGGCAGTATACGTAAAGCCAATCCCGCCTTCAAATGATTTTATTGTAGATGACCAGCGGAGAATTGCACTTTTTGATGACCTTTTCGTGGAAGGTTGACTGTCTGCACCTTGGGAGACTCTACGGTGCACGGCTTAGCACCGTGCATTATTGTCCAGGCAGGTTTTTCCTTGCCATCTACTGATCCGCTGTAGGGTGGGGTGTCCATAGAAGAAAGGGGAGATGTTTCACCGTACGCAGAATTAACAACCTGTGTAGCGGTGGTACCACTGATGGGGGAGGCATGCGAGTAGTATATTTTCTTGTAAATTCGCTTTGCCTCTTTTGAAAAGGGAGATCTATTGCGGAGTTTGTGGAGTCACTTTGTAGCATTTGATTGGATTTGAGCAAAAGTCAATGAATATCCAGGAAAATTCAGAAAGACGCGTTCAAAGAGAAAATGGATATTCAGTTTTTGTAAACAAGCTGCATATGAGAGTTCTGCTTCCCTGTCCAATAGTCTGTAACTGTTCAGTTGGCATTTTCTAATAAATAACTCCGCAGCGAAGGCCTTCTTTCTTTCACCTGTACTATAACTAGTTACATGGTGAGGCTGCTACCTCGATCATCTATCGCAACAGCCAAACGTCACGCCACCTAAGATGGATCCAGCTGTACTGCATAGCTGGGACAGTGGTCAGTCACACTGTTCACCCATACCGGTGCTGCCTCACCCACTGAACTACACCCATTCGCCTCCCCTACTCATAACGTGAGCACTGTTCACCACACGATAATGCCCATATAAATGGCTCAAGTCTTTTGATTCTCCAAACTGGAATTCGATTCTACCACTTGCTTCTGTTGTGCTGGTTTATCAGGTTTAGAGAGGGAAGGACTTGTTTTAATTCATTGGCCTTCAGCGTGATTGAAGACTGTTTGTTCCAAGCCCTAAGGACCACCGTAAAGTAAGTTTTGAGAGGTTGAGAATTAGGGTATAACGTATGAGTGCTCTGTCCAATTTAAGTTTAAGTAGAACATAAGGTTGACGGAAACTCGGGGACTGCGTCTACCCGATGAGCCATCCCCAAGAAGAGCGAAACCAGTCGTGGGCTGTCGAAGAGTTTGCAGCAACCTTGTGAGTAATTTCATTTATGAAACTACTGAAACATGAGGCGGCCTTCGTGCTGCACATTCAGTTAAGGAATATCATAAATGAGAGATTCAGCAGACCCCAGTGAATACCAAATTGATATTTGTCGAAAAATTCAAACACACTTCCGACCAAGTAGTGCAGCGCAAGCACCGGGAAAAGGATACCCGTTGTCTGTAGTCTGGTGCACATACGTGACTGACACAAAACGAAATCACATTATTATGGTCCATGAGAAAAACATCACTACACCTCCTAAGATTGTTGCATAAACATTTGGCATTATAACCGGAATATCAGCCTCCAGACGATGTCTAAATACTATCAGTTCACCGAAATATTCAGAGAACCAGATACGTTAGTGCGTAGCTCTGATTGGATCGCCATTTCTCAGAGGTTTAGCTAGCGAGTCATCCGACCCACGCCAACGGTTACTGTGAAGAGTTTCGAAGGAAAAAATCGTTCAGCTGTGCCATGCCACCAGAAGGAGGCACAAGGGTTGAGATACTGCCAGGTTGCCCAAGCCTAGACAGGGGAATTCGAGAGGCAGAGGTCGGATTCGAACCACAGACCTTCTGGGCAGGAAAGTCGCGCTCTAACTACTGAGCCAAGTGATTGGATGCCACAGCTGGGAACTTCCTGGATGCCTTCGTTGACGGCCCGGAACGCTGATTTGGTTAAGCCGCTGTCAACTGCTTACTCGTCAAAAAATGCAATCCTACAATAATACTACCCAAAGAAACTTTTATCTTAGGGGTGGCCTTCTCTCGGGTAAATTGTATATTGGGCCGAACTAATGGTGAATGATGGTATAGAGCACACAGGGGAGCAGTTTGTTTTGGATCGATTGCTTCAGCTGTGCTGACAAGCAAATCTCCCCATGCTGAAGGGATTCGTTCATTTAGAGAGTTAGCGCACATGACATGGAGAAAGCATCCCAAAGAGAAAAGATACATTATTTAGATTGTGAAAAAGACTCGCTCACCTGAGTATGCTTAACACTGAGCATGGTCAACAGACCAGCTAACCGGACCTCAAACGGGGGAGTAAAGAAAAAGGACTCTGGTCCCCTGGGACCCTTGCACTGACCACCGCCAACCCAGATATGAGTACGCCGGTTCCCATGGCGCGCCCGCCCGGTGCCCTTCTGCGGCCAAGGTTTTCGTTGGCTGCGATAGGGCAGTTCAGCTCGCGTAGTGATGCATCTCCAGTCCTGAATGTAAGAAAACAGTAGTAAGAATTTCCATTTTTGTTACAAACAAGGCAAATGACAGATTGTCCAGAGTGCAAAAAGGACTTTAACAGCCTTATTATTGAAGTGGCTGAACTGGTATAATAACGCCTAACGGGATCGATAGGCTCCTTCCGCCAATGGCTGCTGGATAAAAGGAATATTCGCACTAGGTTGTGGGAACTAAGCATCGATCGAGATTGGACTACTTCGCCGACAAAATAGCTTATTCTATCAAGCTGGGTTTAGCATCCGTACGCAACATGAATTCACCTCCCCTTTCAGAGGTGACTCACTGTGCTTAAGATCGGGTCCATGAGTGTTGAATATGGATCTGTTAGTTCACAGAATCCTACCACCAAAAACAGACTTGATGGTATAAGGTCGAGTATTAAAACTTTGAAGGTCAAACTGTGAACAGTCAAGAGCCACACAACCGTCTAGCCCATCCATTTATCTTATTATTGCTGGAAATCAAACCTTTTGCATACCCTTAAAATCCTGTGGAGGTTTCTAACCCTGAACTCTAGCAGAGGGACGGAGCACACTTAACGGGCGACCGGCTGACCAGCACTGGGCTTAGCCTGCATCCTACATAGGATGTAGCGGTGCTCCTTACAGAGGGCGCCGATTCCTATTACACACCAAATGGTCTGACGGGATTTCCTCCTTCCTGAGCACGTGGAAGGAAGCAAGGTGATTGTCCTAGGACAACCCAGTGTCAAGGCCGATGGAAGTCCTACTCTGTGGAATATCACTCTCATGTTTGACGGCGAGGTTCGTATACGGGGGAAATAAAGGTAGGATAGGTCAGACAGATCAAGAGGCCGGGGGTGCTTTTTGTTTGTCATCTGTGGAACGGTTTATTTGATATTATCGCAACGGTGACCACAGGGCGAACGGTCCTTCGATTAACAGCCATATCTTGCGGCATCCCCATCCTGAAAGGCAAGCAGAATCGACAGTACCCAAGCGTTTCGTAATCGCTTTCATACCCGTCCGGCAAGTAAAGCGTTGGCCATCTTTCTGGATTAGACACGGAGAACGGCAGACGACGGTTCGGCATACACAAAACATGGTTTACGTAACAAAACTTATGGTGCTGGACGCCTTCTTCAGTAGAAGTCCTCAGCGTGGAAAGGACGTACTTGAAACTATCTCGAAGGAACTTACCTATGAATGCGTGACTTGCGATGATCCCAAAGTGAAGTAAACGATTCAACAGAATGCACTGGATCCCGACATATGTTTCAAACGAGGGTGACGGATTTAAGGGGGGCCGCTTCCTAGTACTTGTTCGGCTATTGCCTTTCACTAGTAATATCCACCTGATAACTTTAAATACAAACGTCGAAATCAAGATATTTTAAACATCATCATCATCATCATCATCATCATCATCATCACCGACAACATGACATCAGTGTTCAACACCAATGCTTCACTGCCGTACAACTATGATTTAGTTGAAAGCCTTATTGTAAAGAAAAGAGTAAAGGTGGACGGGGAAGGGACATAGTGCTAGCTTAACACAGTCATTCCGAGGTGCCTACACCTCCAGAAATTCACTCAGGCAATCTGGATAGAAACTGACAACAAGAACGCCACTGACATCGGTTGGTAGCCATATCTTATAGTGTCTCCAGCCAGGCACTGTGAGGATCACGCGGTCCCCATCCTGCAAGGCGAGAAGCACCGACAGCACCCAAGCGTTTCGTGATCTCCTTCATACTCTGCCGAGTCAAGTCAAGAGTTGACCTGTTTACGCCACTCTGAGTTGGGCATGGAAAACAGCACTCTCTTCGGCAAACGATGGTTCGGCATACGCAACACATGTCCCAACCAACCCAGCTTCTGGTGCTGGACACATTCTTCAATGGAGTTACCCGTTACACGACCGAAAACGCGCTTTCTAACTGCCTGGTTACGAATTCGCCGACACCAACCCACACGAGCTATGGTTCTGAGACAACGATTGTCGAACACCTGAAGACGTCTCAGTTCCACTGTTCGAATAGGCCAAGTCAAGAATGACCTTACACTTTGTACAACAATCTCCCCTGTTAAGCCACAAGCGCTGATCCAGCCATTCCATTCAGTATTTTGAAAGGCCGAGGTTCGATGGTAGACTGTTCCGCTCCGAGGACTGAGTATCGCTGAGAAAAGGATGGAAAAGTTGCACTGTGAGTTCCGTTCGAGGGCACCCACCCAAAAAGTTAAAAAAAAAACACGTTTTTGCTCCTTGGTAAAGGCCAAGTGTGAGTCGGGCCGGATGTCCGAAAATTATCAATTAGTCCAAACGTTACTTAGGCTTTTCAGCTAGAAACCACTTCCGTTGGTGCGGTGTTTCCTAAGCTTAGAGTAAAGGTCTTGGATTAGTCAGAAATTACCGTAATAGGGTTCAGAGTAGTCATCAGCATGGGAAACGTCCAGGAATACAAAGCGAGTATACCGCTTTTGAAGCCTAAGGAATATCTCCACAGCCTATTTGGCTGGGAAGATCACCAGTCCTAACCCAAAGAAGACAATACAACGGTTCGAGTCGGAGTATTTACCAGGGGAAGGAGCTAACACTGATGGTTATGTGAAGCGACAGCTACTATCCATTTAGTGTAATGCCAGGGCTTTAGCGCGAACTAGATTCGGGTGAAAGGATGATGACTTTAATGGATGAATATGAGTAGATTCGGCAAAGAACCAGAATTACCAGAGCACCATCCGAAGGTCCTCACGAAAGGGATGTAGGAGACTGAACCGATCACGTTTCTCTTTCGTGATCCGCTCCCAAGCGAGTCAAAGAAAATTAGAAAGTTGGTTTGGTCATTTTTTACAAGTGACGTCATAATCTATGGAACCGGGTGCGTGCCGGTAAACCACCTTGGACAAGACGGACAACTTTTAAGTTGTCCAAGATGTAGTCTGCGTGGCTCAGAACGTCCTCAATCAATGCCATTGGCGTTCCGCTAGCAATTTCTGTTACTACTTCCTGACGGTGGCATGAATGTCATGAACTCACAATCAGAGATACGATCCAAGTGGGATTATTCTCTTTGAAGGGGCGTCGCTCTCGCTGGTAAATTCTTGCAGTATTTTCCGACACGAATTTGAACATCCCAGAAACATGTGTTTTGTTGTTACAGTGAGATTATCCTGGAATATCTTACTGCATGCATCATTCAGCTGTATCACCCTTTCTGTGCCTAACTGGCATGCCACCAGAAGGAAGTACGCCGGCTGGGATGCTGTCAGGTTGCTCAAGCCTAGACAGGGGACGTCGAGAGGCAGAGGTCGGGTCCGAACCACGGACCTTTCGGTCAATAAATTCGCGCTCTGACACCTGAGCCATCTCACCCATACTACATGCATACGACCATCCAGTTGAAATCCAGTGCAGAAATATCCTCATTTTCGGATTGTACAAAAGTGGGCGACCCCCATACACCCTAAACTCCCAACGAACAGTGAAGACAGTGGCAAAGCATAAGGTAATATGTCTTTAAGAAATGGTCATTTCTACCTTCCTTTCACGATGAGAAGCAGAAGCAATATGCTGCGTGAAAACTGTGTTTGGTGAGGCAGCAATGTACACACGATGACTCACCGTCATTCGATAATGCGCTTGCCAATAGAGATTCTGATGGACCAAATCCAGCCTGGGAGTAGCTGCAAATACATCTGGATGGAGATCAACCATTCCTACAGGAGGATGAAGTGATGGGACGTGTGGTCCTGGCTTCAAAGTTTCAAGCCATGCTTGTCGGGGTTGCCGGCCGGGCGAGCAATAGGCAGATTTAGCAAGATTTCGAGCGGTTATCAACGGGGAAGAGTTAGCATTCGTATTCGCTTTATCTGTTGAGTGGGTTGTTGTTTCAGGTTTGGACGCATCAGTTTCGAAACCCTGGAAACTTTGGCGAAGAAGCTTAGGGACAAACGTGGATCTGAAAAACTGAAAAAGAATGGATATGAGGGCCACCATGAAGGGACTGATGCGAACAACTTGATTCTCGCGAAAATGGAAGTAAATAGAATGCATGATAACGAGATACTGATAATGGCAACTAGAGAACTTGAAGCCTTATCAAGAAATCAAAAAGTTGAAACTTACAATGATACGTTGTGAATACATCGTCTGTGAAGAAGACAAACCGTGCCAGAAGAGAAGGTAAGCCACCAATGAGACCTCCTTTGGCGTATCACGTGAACTGAGGAAAACCAAAGGGCATCACAGTGCATCCACCAAGCTCAGTGTGGCGCAAAGATCTGAGTAGTAATGTAGTACTAGGCAACCTGAAACGGTGAAAATGAGAGATTTCTGCTATGACTGATACCATGTAAAGTGAATCTTACAATAACAGAAATTCACGAGGGAATGATTAAGGTGCCGTTTCGACAGGGTGTCTATTGCTCAAACACGTCAGTCATGAAGAGACTGGATCTTACCGTGATTTGGCGCTTTGTGTACCTCGGTGACCCTATAAACTATACTGGGGGTGTCCGCGCGACACTCACAGAGTCTCTAATACCTGGTTCGGCAATGGGTAGATGTCTGACGAATACAGTCTCCTGGTCCTCCAGGTTTGCGGATTGAACATAGGTGGCGACGTGTTACGTAAAAATGGCAATGTAATTGCGTTTCCAGCCCAACGCTACTGCATTGCTGTTAGGCTTTTGAGCAGATGGTTTTGATTGAGGACCCTAATCATCCTCCAGTCTAGGTGTGGGCACCCTAGCAGTATCCCAGCACCCGTACAACCATGACATTCGCAGCTAACAATTCTCTCACCAATTCTCCACAACGGTCTTCGCGTGGTGCCATCAGCTGGGTCGCCTTACCTGCTGCATACAGCAGGGCGGGTAAGTGGAAACAAGCTGATTCTCACGTTTTCCGTCTTCCATCCTTCCCCCGCCCAGATTTGAATGGTTTCTCCACAGCTCCCAGCACTATGACAGACCATTTCGCTCGCCCTGTACCACACTTAGCCGCAGCTTCTGTACGTCCGAGTTCAGTCACAACCCTAAACACTTCGAAGTCTGTCTTAAGACTCCGAGAGCCTGTCTACCTAGCCGCCATTAATGTTCGCACATTGAAGCGAGCAGGTCAACGGGTGGTTCTTACTCGTACACTGGATTCCCTGTGTTGATGTATGTTGTCTGTCAGAAGCAAGGACGCAGGACGCAAGTACTGTAATCGAACAGGCTGCCCCTTCGCTCTCTTCCAGGTTCCGACTGCGTATCTCTGGTGGTGCAAAGGTCTCCGCAGCTGGATATGCTGGGGCGGGTATCGTATTGAGCGACTGAGCGGTATCGCCTCTTCTTGATTGGATACCCGTTGATAGTCGCCCCTGTGCTGTTCGTTTGGTGGTGATGATCATGATCATGATGGTCATGATGATTGTGAGTCAAACGAAATTATTAGAAGCAGCTCCTCGAATGCCTACCGGACGGTACGGTGTCGGATATAAACGGCCACTGGGGGAAAATAGCCAAAGCGCTACTCAAAGCCGGAACGTCCGTTTGCGGTACAACCCAGCCAACCTTATCCATCCTCTAGGATAGGACCATGTCTTTGTTGGAGATCCGGCGACAGAATCCTCCAGGCCACCACCACAACTCCACCCCACTCCATCCGATGCCAGGTGAAACTGAGTGTCCGCGCAGGCCGAGAAGCTTGGTGGGCCCGGAAGGCCGAAGAAATGGAAGATTCAAAGTATGCTAGAAACGTGCGCAAACTGTTCCACTTGATCAGTTCGACTGGTCCTCGGAAACCTTTCATCAGCGAAATGATCAGAGACCAAAATAGCTCCCTGATATGCAGCAAAGCAGAACGTTTGGACCTCTGGGCACAGTACTTCGAACAGCAATGCAACTGGCCACCTGCTACCTACAGTCCAGAATCCTGATCTTCAACAGAAAGATGGACCGTAAATATGGAGCCGCCTTCAGTATCAGAAGTGTCCGAGTCATGGTGCACCCGGTCCTGATGAGCTTCCACCTGCTCTTCTCAAGGATGGCGGTGGGCTCCTCAGCCAGTGCCTGTCTAGTCTATTTGGGTCTACATGGGAGAAAGAGACCATCCCAGATTACTGGGGTGAATCGATAGTAGTAACCATTTTCAAAAAGGGAACTCGCAGTGAATGTGGTGACTAAAGAGGCATTAGTTTAATTCCTGTTGTGACAAGGCTTCTGGCGTCACTGATTCTACGTCGTCTTACGGTGGCGCGCGAAGTTTTGACTCGTGAGAATCAAGCGGGATTTCGACCGAGTAGAGGCTTCGTTGACCACATCTTCACACTCCGTCAGGTGTTAGAGCAACGCTTTATGTACAGACGACCCATAATCTTGGCACTCCTTGACTTCAAGGATGCGTTAGATTCTGTAGGTCAATCAGTGCTGGTAACCGCACTGCTGAACAGGATAAGCCCCAGAAGTCTGTGAACATAATCCGATCCCTATAGGCACGTACTTCTGGGCGGGTAAGGTAGGGTGAGCTCTCCAGAAGCTTCCCTACAAAAAAGTGGTGTCCGACAAGGATGTCCACCTGCTTCATTCTTGCTCAATTTCATCATCGATTAAATAATGAGGCGAATGGTGGAAGGTCTTCAAAAACCCCGGTGTTCAAATTGTTGCTGGTAAGAGCCTTGTCAATCTGGAGTACGCAGATGACATCACCCTCATCTTTGAAGAGCAAGGCGGAGCACAAGCCCTGATGAATACACTGACCGCCATCATACCATCCTTTAGCATGTGGCTTGCACCTCCAAAGTGCAAAGGCATGCTTCAGAACGTATAGTCATCGAACATATCCCTTACAATTCCAAGAAAATTAGCGGACATTGTGGAAAATTTTTACATGCCTCGGTGGTTGTGTTAAGAAAAACAAAAATAAAATCTCTCAGCAGTAACACTCCTTTCGGTGCCTAGCTGCCATGCTACCCTAAGGAAGCACGAGGGCTGGGAAACTGCTAGGTTGCCCAAGCCTAGACAGGGGAAGTCGAGAGGCAGAGGTCGGGTTCGAACCACGGACCTTTCGGTCAGCAAATTCGCGCTCTAACCACTTGATCCATCTCGTACTAGCTCTGACGGAAATGTATCTGATGAAGAAAAGGAAAGCATCTCAAAGGCTAATATGTTAATTCGCGTCAATTGTTGTGTCAAAAAGGCATATCACCGGATCTTCAGGGTCGCGTGTACCAGGCTACAATGAGGGTTGTATTGTGTGGTTGCGAGACATGGCGTCTGCGGACAGATGATGTGAAGTGTCTTCAGGCTTTTGACCACCGATGCCTCAAAAGCGTGGCTGATTTTGGAAGGCGTCAGCATGTTAGTAACGAGGTGATTAGAAAGCGAGCATTCGGTTGTGCGGCAGGTACTTCAATCAAAGCGACCAGCACCACCAACTACGATGGCTCGGTCATGCGCTGTGCATGCCGAAACACCACCTACTGAGACAAGTGTTGTCCTTCGTGTCTCCTTCAGAATGGTGCAAACCGCGAGGTGGACAACGCATGACTCGGCAGAGGGGCGTGAAAGAGATCACGAAGAGTTTGGGTATTGTTGGTAGGGTCCCCGTGACCCCACCTGTGCTTGGCTGGAGACGTTGCAGGAAATCGACGTCAGCTAATCGATGTTGATTGCGTTCATGCTACCAGTTTCTTTCCAGATTTCCTGAGCTCTTGGAGGTGTATGCACCTCAGAATGCTTGATATAGTGCAGCAATAGGTCCCCTCCCTCACCCACTAATTTTCTCTTTTCACTCTAGGGCGTTAAATATAACTAGATGAGTATTATGGTTGTACAGCAGTGAAGCATGTGTCAAAACTGATTTTGCTGTCCTTGATGATGATGTCATAGAATAAGAAGACATTGAGAACAAAAATACGCAAAACAAATACCGAACAGTGTGTGGACTAGCTGGACTCCTCAATATTTATTCAACATACGACGAGTCGGAACCCAATACGCATATTACACGGACAATATTCACCAAATAGAAGTAAAATCAAAAAGTGATCATGAGATGTCTACTTGACCAGCAGGCTCTTCAATCTACAACTTCAAGCGAACTGTTGGTCCATTAGAACCATGGAGTGGAGCGGAAATTGTGAGGCTAAGATAGCTAACCAGTTTTATGTTGCCGAAGAAAAGAAACCTTAGGATAAAAAATGTAATAAGCCAACCGGCCGGGATGAAGCCAAAGGATCCCTACAAATTTGGGCGGTATCTGACGAAAACAGAAAATCGGAATTAGTCTGGGACAGAGAGTGGAGGTCGAGCCATTTAGGAAAAGAGTTCGGGAAAAGACAGTTCCAGAGTTTGTCCGAAGATATGACACAGACTATCGACGTAGGTACTCTGTTCTGGAAGAGTAACAAATCGACAACAAACTATCACGACGAACCTGGTCTCTATACCCAGACTGGAAGGCTGTAAGTTTATCACTATGGAGGT